AAAAAAAAAAAAAAAAAAAAAATTGCTGTACCGTAAATATGCCATAAAACAGTTAGCAAACTTTTTTCTGACACATCTAAAAAACTTGTCTTTCTAGCAGGTCAATTAAGTACAGTTTTGAAAAAGTTAGCAGCTTCCACCAATTCAATAGACAGTCTCAAACAACAATTAGCATCCTCTGTCCTTTACTTCCAATAGCTATTTTAGAAATTTTAACAGCAGTAAAACCGCAATCCGGTCATGGTAAAATTAGCTACGGTTGTAGGAGATGCCAGATACTACTAGTCGAAATTATGGAACCTTAAGTCATCATTGCCACGTCAATCCACTTTCCGCTCATCGTCCTACAGAAACTAAAGACAAATCAAGCTATGAGTGCTAGCAAAATTGAATATGCTGGTTCGCTATCCCTCTTTACTGCCCCGCTTACTCTCGCTAGTTTCCCTTCCTCACCCCCTCCCTGTATGTCCCTGAAATGGAACTAATCGCAATTGTATGGCAACCCACTGAAAGCCTCTATATTTTAGGTCAACTTTAGATGCTTAATTTCACCGGAAACGAAAAACATTGGGAGCTCTTTCAATTTAGTGCTGCCATTCCCTTTCCATCCAATCGAACCAATGAATTCTAATCGTAGTGAATGTAGCTGTCTTTCATCAAAACCAGCACGGAGGGTGGACACCATACCGGAAGGGACCCGAAAATCGTTGGTTTACAATTATATGAAATCTTTATTCAAGTATGTAACATTTAAAGACACATCGCTAAATATGATAAATCAAATACAAAAAATTTTACAAATAAGAACTTTTTAAAAACTTTCTTCAAACCTCTAACACACACAGCGATCAAGAGTAAATATCTTCGAAGTCAACGCCTTTGTACAAATTATCTACTCAAAATGAAAATTTGCATTAAAAAAAGGACCAGGATCATTCGTCAGGTGCTCCGAATATCCACTATCCTCCATGCAACCGAGCACCTTATCCTCACGTCCGTAACCCTCCTTTCTCCATCCGGATTTCGCTAATCATGCCGTATTCTTCAGTGACACACCTAAGATACTCGTTTTTGCGAAACCTAAAAAAGAAAACGCCTGCAAGAATTCTGACAACACGTCGTCTCTTGTATGTAAACAAATAAAACATAGACTTTTCATGTTTTACTTAATTTCACTGACCTTCTGTTACTAACTATCATCAGGAAAACTGGGAAGCTATCAAAGTATTACACTAAGGTAAAAAGTATCAATTTTCCCTAAAACTAACTCTTGGCTGGCGTTCAATTAATAATTATCTCCCCTTATCAATGGTAATCAGAACTATGTAAATCTCTTCATCAACTTCTTCATTATAATGCTGCAAATAACTAGCAAACAAAACAGCCGTAGCATATTATATTAACAGTTCGCATTTTACTTCATCTGAACAGTGAGTAAAAACGACAAATTATCGAACTCCAAAACTCTTCAAAATACGCGAAGAAAAAAGCTAGAAATTCATAGTTAAGTCGTAAAAAGAAAAAATTAGCATCTATATACATATCCATACACTGCCACGTGTATAATACATATGAAAAAAAGTTATGTTGAAAAAAATTAGATTTTTGCGCAGACTGAAACAATCAATAAAGTTCTTCTAAAAATGCTTTTTTCCAATACGACACTCAGAACCTTGCCAACCTACAACTGTAGTAGCTACGAATTTGCGAAAAAAGTTCCGGCTTTCCAGCATTTAGCCAACAGCCACTGTTCCTTCACATCCTCTCATATACGAGCACAGCTTCCCTGGTTGTTACATTTTCATTGCTTCTTTTTGCTACAAGCAGCTGATAGAAGAAAACCAAAAAGCATACATGCAAGATTCACTGCTAAAAAAACTTGGAACAAAATACTTCTTCCAAACGGCTATTAATTCCCCTTTGTTGTTAGCTCCCCGGTACTAACCTAAGTAAATATGCTGTCACTGTTAACGCTTTCTGCAGGAAACACAAGATTACTTGCTGTTATCTGTAACAATCACTACGATCAGAAGAAAGCCTCCAGGGACAAGTAGTCACCACCACTAATTGATTTTGCTACTTTGGTCACACAGACACAATCTGTTCAAAATTCCCTGCTAATGACTATAATTTCATACAAAAGCCTCACACCACGACCTGGCATGCAGTTAAGGCACCTGAGTCCCGCTGGAGGTTATTAGCAGATAAAAACAATGTTACCAAAGTTCGCCTAAATCAATCACCGCAAACAAAATTTTTGTCACATTGGAATACTGCAAATAACAGTCTTACCATACCAAGTTTTTCATGTTGCTCTCCAAAAAAATCTCAAATCGTATCAAATACAGTGCCATCCCTTAAAGTCCATTATATTCCGGTATGATGAGTCAACGTTTTCCCAACCCAACTTCGTCACTCAGCGAGCATGTTAGAATTGTTGGTTTTAGCTTCGACGGTAAGGCGTCTCCTAACATTATCGGTAGAGGCGGCATTCCATCCCCATAACAACCAGTACGGTTATCTCCCTTTGGTTCGAAAAGCATTCTTGGCTGAATGCAAAAATGAACTTTTATCATGAAATTTGCTGATAAAGTGATGTTGCTGAAACAGCACTGTTACAGTTAAGCACGGCTTCAAAAGAAGTGCATTGGTTACACAGAAAACAGTACTTATTGATATATTACCAATAGATATTTTTTCAAAAACAAGAGCGAAAAAGGTAAGCAAAAAAATGATGAGGGTTAAGTCGTACTTGGTTGTAAAAAGCCATCTGAACGACTTATTTGCCAAAACCTTTAAAAACTAACCGTAGTAGCAGCTTCGCCCCATTTCCAATGACTTGTTACTAACGTCAGTATGCAGAGTTGCCCCCAATAAACCAAAAACAGTCATTGAAACTACAAGAAAAGTATGCCAAAAAAATGTAATACGATAAATTCCGTTTACAAAAGTACTGCGTAACCGAGACCCTTTTGATATATTTGGGTTTCCCAATATACTCGTACTAGACAAAAGAAATGCTTCCAGGGGATAATTCCTCCAGACAATGGTAATTCCCAAAATGCTTTTCGAAAAGTTCTTGGCACTGAATCAATCGAAACCATGATGTCACTGCAGGATGTTTCCGATGCTTGAACGTTTATTCACAACTGTCAACCAATGTTATATCAATTATGGAAACAACTTTAATCTTTTTTTATTTCTATTTTTTTTTTTTCAAGTGCAAAAATCTTGCATGACCTCCGAGGTTATAATACTCAGTAAAATATGAAACTTTTCGTCTGACCTCACCCCCCTCTCTCTTTACCAAGGAAACAACAGATTTTACGCGGCCTCATTAAACATCATTATTCTTGAAATGCCATCTGAATAACCAAACAAGAAATTTTCCCTCCGAAACAACCAACAACCAATTGCTCCCCTGAATATCAAGGGCTTCCCCTCTTCCACTTCCACTCAAACTATTTCACTTTCTATGCGTTCGTTTAACGTTGTTCACCCAAATATAATGCGTAACGCATTTGAAGGAGATAATAACGGGGCAAAAAGAGCTTGTTTTTTGAAGAGAGAGCAGAAAAGCAAATAAAAATCAATAATGCCGCTTTAACTCTGCTGGCTATAGCAGCAAGCAATCGCAATTTTCTTACGGGTTGAAAGCGATAGCGGCGATAAAAAATTGTTGGGTTTGTGTTAGTCTGATGTTTCGGATCTGGGCAACCTGTAATACGAGACAAATGAGCGCTGGTTAAATTTTTAAGCACTCTTCAAACACGGTTTTATGAAAACGGAAAAAAATTCATAGGCGTCATTACTGTTTCACAAGACATTCCAATACTGTATCAGTTGAAAAGGTTATAATCAGTGATCAAACAGTGCAACTTGTTTCAGAAATATTAGGATTCATCTAAGCCTATCTGTGTGAAATTTAGGGGTCAGGAAATTGTATGCGTAAACGATGCAATACAATTGAAAAAACAGATTTTAAACATCTGGAAAAAAGTAGTTATTTTTATCAAAAAGAATGTGAGTTTGGAAAAGATTTTTAAGATTCAGAAAAAAATTTGCAGTTGTTCCACCTCTGAAAATAAATGTTCTAAGTCTCCAATAAAATCATTTGACAAATTTACTTTTTTCATTTTAGTTGTTGATAATCACTAAAGCTGCGTATACATGTTGCACTAGTGATTTGGAATTCTTTGCAGAGCAACATGGAGAAAGATGTAGCTATTTGGCAATTTCAGCGAAATGAAGTGGCGCACACAATCGTTGATGTCCTTTGCTATCTTCTACTTTTTGCCTTACTTTCAAATCCCCTTTCTTCTCGCCCATCTGCGTCCACTAGACTTAAAAATGCACGAGTTCGAGTATGCTTCGATCATAACCTGTATTCTCCAATTCGAAAACCCCTACGTACAAATACATAGCGAGGTGAGGCCGCGGCTCCAGAACCAACTTTTCATTGTCCTAAAGCCGCGACGCGACGCGCACGCGACGTAATGCGTTACGGCTGTATATATACGTTCGCAGCACTAATTGCCCAGTAGTGTGTGTTTTGAAGCGGCGGAGTTGTGTGTCAGCCGTTATTCTGGTGTTGTTGGGACGGCGTTGCGTATTACATTAGTCTAGTGAAATGGTTGTTCTACAGTACAGTGATTCTGATATTTCATCAGGAGGATCATGTTATTCTTCATGCTCGTCATCTGATAATGAGTATGAGGAGTTGAACCCAACTCAATTGCTTTCTTTGGCGATTAAGAAACGTCGCGCTGTGTACAATCGGAGAGAACGAGATTTTCGTCAAGAATTGCTGCATACCGGCCTTATTCAATCATTGTGCAAATATTTGGGCGAAGCGCGTGTAAAGCGTCGACGTCATCGTCGGTCAAAAAGCTCCAGGAATCGATCAGCGGCAAACCGTAAACGTGAGTGGTCGGATAATGCCAGTTTGGCTAGTCCTGAAAGTGCAACGGTCGAATTGACCACTTTCACATGCCCTGAGTTTTCAAACTTAGGTGGTAGTTTTCGTGTTAAACAACCACATATTCAGTGTTCGGTAAATGTCTTGTCCGACTGTTATGAACCGCCTGAGAAGAAGCCTTGCCGCTGTGATCATGGTGATCCTTTCGGTTTGGAGCCAATTTTTAAGGAAATGTTTGGATCCGGGTATATCCAGGTAGATATATATATATATATATTTTTTTTTTTATATAAAAGGTATTTGAATGGTTTTGTGTGCCCGTGAGTCATAGGCTTCCGTAGGGATGAGTTTTTAAGCGTGGATGTTGAAGTAGTTGGAGGTGGGTGCAGTGTCTCAGAAGCTTTTGTCACAGATGTTTCTATTTGTTGGAAGCAGATAATCAGGCTCAGAAAGTACTATTCTTAATGTGATATTGCTTGTTATTTTTGTGCTGCATTATGGAGGTTTTGGTTTTCGAACATTTCAGGAGTCATGTTGCTGCGGTGCATGAACTTTATGGCCATATTTAGTGACTATCAGAATGATCTCTATTCGGAAACGGGTCGTCAAGAACTGGGATTGGACGAGGTTTTTGACAAGAGTGACATCTGTATATACAATGAACTTTTTCAAAATTGCTCAGTGGAGGAGGATTGGTGACTTCATCTTTGTTTCTTTTTTTTTTTTTGTTTTTTTTGTTTTGATTTTGTTTTGGAGCTCCTTGTTGTGAAATTCGGAATTCTTTGGTGTCGCCAACCCTCTTCTTTAATAATGATGTGTATGTTCAATTCAGAAGTATAAATATATTTATTAATATATTCATTTTTTGTGTTTCGCGCAACTCTCATATTTCTAGATTTATGGCAGGACGCCGTCAAGGTATTTAAGGACTATTTCTGTCACGCCTATCAATTGAGCGTTGGCCGAACCGTCTCAAATGGTTCTTAAGTAATCAGTATAATAGTAATTTTAATTCAAGAATATTCGGATAGGTTCACGGATATTCTGTTTATATTGTTAGTCTTTTGGTTATAGGTCTAATTTGACTTTCGCAGTCGTTACAAACTGACACCAGAATTCTTTTATCAAGTCTCGGGTGTATCCCATCCGTTGAGTTGGATACAGTCAGCACAACATGCAGCACGAAGAGGGACTCGTGCTATCTTGAACTGTTTGTTTTCACCATAAATTATATCGTAATTTGTATTGATCTCACATGTTTCGTTGCCTTTATACCATCACTTTTAAAATTGTGCTGTTTTGAAAATCGTAAATCTAGAAAGTCTGCCGGCGAAGCCAATGAACTGGTTTTATATTTACGTCTGCGAATTTTCGGGAAGCAGTGCGCAGGGAGTTTATACTGAAATTTACAAGGCATGATGGTTCTTCGAGAATTGTTTAAAATTGAATTTTTTTGAATGAGGGCTTTACAGTAGTGAAGGTATCGGAGACGTGTTAAGTATTTCAGATTTTCAGACTGTTTAGAGGTTTGTAGTTCAGTTAAAAAAGGAGTTTTTTGTGGCGACGGTCTATGCAATTGCGGAAGTCGCTGTGCTGTTATCAGGCCTAAGGCGGAACGCTCACGGTTCTATTTTTTTTTTCTTGTGAATCTTAACGTGTAAGAACTGCTGATTGTTGTAGTTTTGCATTATGTTCTTTCGACTTGAATCAAGTTTTTTTTTTCTGAGTTCAGTTCAATTAGGTTATTTATGTTTTAAGATTCTGTGCAAAATGTCCGTTTTTTAGACTTTTAGGATGGAAGGGTGAAAGCGGTTGCAGGACTGCGGTGAGTATAAAGTTAGTTTATAACATCTCAGATAATGCGGGCATGGTTACCGCGT